TAAAAAGTCTGGTTTTTACCGCCCCGCTGCTCAAAACCTCCACAGGCTTAAATGCTCCAAGTGCCTCATGACCTCTTCCTGCTCTGATTTTTGGCTGCACTTTTAACCTTTGCACTCGACTCTGGTGCACATTTCCTCGTTGTTCTGGCGGGTTCTGCGACGCAGCTTTGGTGATGGCCGGGTCACCGGCGTGCACCGGTGTCACTGCAGCTCCCCGAGATGTGGACTTGCTGGAGTCTCTCACCTGTGTGTCCTTAGCTATCAAGTCATTTCTTCAGCGAGAACGTCCCTGGTCACACCTCTACCTCCTTTCCTGCTTCACTGTTTCTATCCTCAGGACTTCGTCGGTCTAAAGTGTGAGCTGGAGTGACACAGGGCTGTCTGTTCTGTTCTCTGCTCGTTATACAACGCCTAAAATCGTGTCGAGTGACGCTTCGTGATAATTAGTGAATGAATTAATTTCCGTCACCCATATCCCAGCCTCCATTTCGTGTTCTTTCTCTCTCTCTTTCTCTCTCTCTCTCTCTCACTCTCTCTCTCACACACACACACACACACGTTTGTGAACTTTCACTCGCTCACACACACACACGCTTGTGAACTTTTTCATTTTCCAGTGACATTCTTTCCCCCCGCCCCGTACCCCATTTCTCCACCTTGGTCTCCTCAGAAAGTCCCCAGCACGCTCTCCCCCACTCTCCTTCAGCCCAACACTGCTGCTGGCGTCAGCAAACTTCCCACAAGCGCCCGCAGGCCAGGCCCAAGCTCCCCGACTGGAGTAAAAAGAAGGAGGCTGCGACCGTCGCCCTCGCCTGCCCCAGGACCCTCGGCGAGCTTCACTCACATGAAGCGCAGGTCAGGGCCCCGCCGGCTCCTGCCTCAGCCCGCAGCCCGTAGCGTGGGCCTCGCACGCGCGACGACGCTGAGACAGGACCCAAACGCCTGCCCCACCAAATGCCTGAGCGCGCCACGGAGAAACCCCCAAATTCCGCTAGCCCCTTTCCTGTTCGCAGCGCATCTTGCTCCCCGTTTCCCAAGCCCTTAATCCATAATGTAAACGACCCCGCACTTTTTCTTCGCTACGTTGGTCGTCTGTTTGGGCAGCGCGATAGACGCCCCTCGTCGGGGTCTTTGTTCGCTGCTGCGTCGCGGACTCTCTGACGTCAGAGGACCTGACTGAACTGAGCGTGAGGGGAAGCGCTGGGACCTGTCAGTGACGTGGGCCGGGCACTTGCTCCCGGCCGTAGTAGGAGTTTGGGTTCTGGCTGACTAAGTTCGCCCGCCAAGGGCAAGCTCGGCGCTCCCGGCGCCCCAGGAGCCGTCCTGTGCCTCACGTCCCTGAAATGCGTGGCCTGCTGCACTAAGCTGTCGCGGCAGTCGCAGGCGCAGCGACAGCGCTGAGGCCGGGGGAGAAGCGCTATCCCCCGTCTTTGTGCCGCCTGCACCCCCCGCCTCACAGGCAGGTATCTGGGTGTCCCAGTTTTCCGTGGCTCGTGGGGGGTTGGCGGGGGGTCGGAATGGCAGGGGCAGCGACGGCTCCCGCGTCTCCGCCGGGAGGGCCAGAGCCCACACCGTGCGGCTGTGGCTGCAACTCTGTAGGTCCTTGGGGAGCTGCGCCTGCCTCCCCCCAAAGTCACACGTCACCCGGCTCCGTTGGAAAGTGTAGGTGAAGCTTCGACAGTCACCACGTGCCACTGCTGAAAGGTTCAAGAAGATGAGAGCAGGAGAAACTCGCCTCAGGACAAACTCAGTGTGTGCCCCCCGTTTCAAAGATTGGGGAGTTGTGGAAATGGCACCTTCCCTTGCGCAGTGGGAACGTCCCGAGGAGAAAGGAGGTTGCTTCTGCCTTGTCGGTGGCCGGCCTCCAAGGCCTCGTCCTCGTTAGCTGTGACAGAAAGGCAGTTTTTGAGGGAAGGCGTCTGACAGAAATGGGCTGCTCTGAATTCCCTGTTGAAATGCGGGGACTGCGCTTTCGAGATGGTGTCTTTTGTCCTAGGGCCGACCCTCCCCTCACCACCACCCCCAACCCCTGTGAGTCTTTGATTCCAAGCCCATAGAAGACAAAATGTGTCTCTCACGCCCTTGCTAGCCCACGAGTGGAAGACACCTGCCTTCACGTGCGAGCTTCAAGGCATCTGCTGAGTGAAGGGATCTCGAAACCCAACCACTTGCATTGTTTTTCCTCCACCGATGTCTCCTCCACCAGTGTCTCGCCTCAGGTTTTTATTGCTACCTTGTTCCCACTCAGCGAGTGTAGCTGGCGAGCGCGTTTTTCATGTGTGAGCCCTTTTGTGTCGCCATGAAAGGCAAAGTGGCAGCCCAACAACCGAGTGGTTTATCTTTTTGAATAATTAGCATTTTCGTTATCTGGTTCTTGAATTTTAGCGGCCTAGGTAATAGCAATGGCTGCGTGAACACCCCCGTAGGATGCTGCCCTGTAGAGCGACTCCATGCTGGAAAAGAAGAACACGGAAGCCCCCTTTCTAACATCAGGCCTGTTCTCAAGAAGCGAACACGTTTAACCTTTTCTAGTCTTAGATCTATATGTTTAGTAATGAGTTAAATTCCTCACTCTTTTATTTATTTTTTTTAATGCTTTAAGATAGCCCGCATCACCCACAACATATTTTCTCCCAATTTTGGAAGTGATCACAATTAGTTTCCTTGATGCTTAGTTTTTAATTCCAAATGATAATGCTTTTCACATCAACTTATAAATACATATGTCTCTGGTTGTAATGGTTAACAGTCACTGTATGAGTCAGAGGTGTGTGTTACCACACCAGGCCCACCACCACAGTCCTGATAGGGGGTGTCAGCAACGTTGGACCCCTCCTACCTTTGCTCCCCAACCCTCACCTGCCCACTCTGCTAGCCTGTTTTACGGATTTCTAGGCTTTGTTTTGGTTTGTGTTTTCTAACCCACAGTCTTGTTTCTCTGTATTCCACATGTACATGAATCCCTCTGGTATTTGTCTTTATCCTTCTGGCTTATTTTACTTAGCATAATCTCTCCCCACCCTCAGTTTCATCTATGTTGTCAAAATGGCAAAAATTCATCTTTCTTTCACACTGAGTAATATTCCATACTCTATACCACAACTTCACTAGTTTGGCACTGAGGCCATTGACCTGAATTGGCCATTATAACTAGTGCTGCAGTAAAAAGAAGTGAGTGTTTTCGCAGTCTTCACATAGATACTTAGTGGTATCGCTAGATCACGTGATAGATCCATATTTTTGTGGTATCACTAGATCACGTAATAGATCCATATTTTTTTGGACCCGTCCGCTGTTCTTCATAAGGGCTGCACCTGTGTACGTTCCCAGCAGCAGTGTACAAAGATCCCTTTTCTTTACATCCTCACCAACACTTATTGCTTCTGGTCTTTTCCATATAAGCCAGTCTTGCAGTCTGAGATGGTATCTCATGGTGGGTTTGGTCTGTAGTCTGGATATTTTAGTTGTTTCCAGTTTAGGAATATCAGCATCAGTATCACTCTGATGTAGCCCCTGCCTGTGTGTGTTAGCTTCTGCAGGAATGGAAGAGAAAACAGTAGCAGGCTCTTTCCAAAGTGAGAGTGTGAATTTAATTTATGTTTCCACTTACGTGAAGATGAAATTTTGTTTTTCCATATCCTCTTAACAATATGATTTGTCTAATTTCCTCGTTTTTGCTATCTTAGGTGCATAAATTCTCATTGGTTTTAATGAAATTTTAAAATACGTACATATATTAGTCATTTCTCTTTATTCTTATGTGAAATATATTTTTCCTGGGCTTCTATTTCATGCAATAGATAGAATATCTTCTCAAATCTTTCTAAATTTATTATAGATGGTTTTGGCTTTGATCTCATAAATTATATCCTTTAGTTCCAGGGCAGATATTTTGTTTCTTCCCTTATTCCTCACCCTTTATGTTGTATTCTTTCCTTGCCTGTGTTATGGATGTTAGATAGTCCATGGTTTAAGAATTAACGATGCTGTCCAGAGGCTTGGCATAAATGAATAAGCTCATTGGCTGGCATACTTAGTTTTAGAATGGCTGGGTGGGCAGCCAGATCTTAATTGGTGTCCTACAAATTCTAAAATTAGGAAGAATTGCACTTTTCACCAGTGCCCACACAAGCAGTGTTATCTTCAGAGTTGGCTTAATTTTTTCAAAGAATCTTGTCTACTTTGCTTTCAAGGTAATAACTGTTCAGGATTGGGTCATTCTCCACCCCTCACTCTGTGAGAAGGGAAGTTCTTAGTGTTATGTGGATTATTTAAGCTTTAGATGATGAAGAGAATACTCTTATTGATTAGAATATGCAATAATAAACTTGAATTACTCTTTAAAACAGGTGTTAATGAAGATGAAATGCATTACCTTTTCCTTTTTATGCCATCTTTGCTTTTTATTTATTTTAGATCAGTAATATAAAATATGATTGAGTTTCCATCATCAATATTATATTGGAATTTTTTTAACTTTGATTTTTTTTTTAAGTGTAAAGTGCCCAGTTGGCTTTTCCCTGCAAGTAATGTATTATTTAAGGTGAGAAAATGCTAAGGTAATGCTTGGTTGATCTTTCATAAGAGTCTCTCGTTTTCTAGGTTATCTTGGAAGATTAAGGACCCTGAATATGTTTCCTTTGAAAGATGGTGAAATGGGTGCGTTTACCTTCTTTGCCTCAGCTCTGCCACATGATGTGTGTGGAAGCAATGGGCTTCCTCTCACACCAAATTCCATCAAAATTTTGGGGCGCTTTCAAATCCTCAAGACCATTACCCACCCCAGATTGTGTCAATATGTGGATATTTCTAGAGGAAAACATGGTGAGTTGGATTTTTTCCCTCCTGTTCTTTACTCTGTCATCACAGTTTGGTTATAAACATGTGGCGAATATTGTACATGCACACACACATTTTCATGCCTTCCCATTTATGTGCAAACCTGCCAAGAGAAACACAAACTCTTTAGCAAGGTGTGGCTTAGAAGGTCCTTCCTGATCTAGTCCCACTGTATTCCTTAAGTATATTTCTGTAGTTACCACCACCTTCATCCTCATGCCAAGCCTAGTCATACGAGTTTTCCTGACTACTGTCTCCCCTCACATACCCCTATTTGTAGACCTTGCTATTTTCTGACATGAGTTTTGCTATGTCCAGTGTGTGTGTGTATATGTGTGTGTGTGTGTGTATATAACGTGTAACTTTTGTCTTTCCTGAGGATCCTTAGTTCTTGGAAATAAGAACACAATAACTTTAACTCTGACCTCATCAGATAGAGCTGCAGTACTGTACCTAGTATACAAGGAACATGCAATAAGTGTTTGAATGATTGAACAGCCACGGCTGAGTGATTCATGTTGTTTAGATCTGGGAATCCAGACTCTTAAGTTTTCTCTTTTAGGGAAACCTTCTGTCTATAAGGGTGTAAATTTAAGAAGTAAATTTAAGTTCTGATGTTAGAAACTTTAGAATTTTTTATAGGAATGTATGTTGTGAATTAAAATAGTAATTTGGGATAGCTCTCTGAATGCAAAGGAAATTAGTAAATTTTCTTTTGTCTCTTTGTATGGGACTCTACTTAGAGAACTGAAGTGAAAGCTTGACCGCTTATTGGTTAAATAGTTTCACTAGCACTTTGTTTACTGCTTTTTCAGTAATGTGGTTGAGTTTTTGTACTCCATATCATCATCTATTTGGGCTGCTTTTTTACTTATTAAAGACTTTCTTATTTATACATAAAGGAACTGGGGTACAAGCCAGGGGTGCAGGGGGTGGGGTGGTAAGAGGATTCACAAGGGACAGAGCAGGGAGCAAAAGAGGCAGACTGACAGATATATACTGCTGAGGATAGCAGAAGGTAGAATAGGAGAAGTCTGCTGTGCCATGTGAGTCTCCTGCCCAGCTGGGGGTTGAACTCATGCTGCATTGGCTGTGGATTATTTGGGCTGCTTTTTAAAATCATTAAGTCAAGTGGCTTATGAACAACACTCTTTTCTCATAGTTCCGGAGACCACAAGTCTTAGATCAGGCTAAATCTGGCAGCAGATTCAGTGCCTGATGAGGCCATCTTGCTCACTGACAGCCTTCTCACTGTGACTTCACATAGTGGAAGGGGCAAGGGAGCTCTTGGGGCTCTTTTATAAGGTGGTAATCATACTCCCTGAGGACGTAGAACTTCCAAAAGTTCTTGTTTGCAAACTCCATCACATTGGGGATTAATTTTTAACATAGGAATTAGGAGTTAGGGTGGGGTACAAACATTCAATCTGTAATACCTCACTAAAGAATGTTATGATGGTGGTCTTTAATTATTTTCAATTTATTTTTTGAAATTTAATTGCACACTGAGATTCCATTTCTTAAAATTATTTTAAATGGGAAACCCAAGGGCATTGCAACTGAGATGGAAAAATGCACAAAAATATGTAAAAATAAGCTAATATAATTTTTAAAATTATTTTAAATGCATCTCAATTAAATAATGTAATTTTCTAATGTAATTTGTGAAATTAACCTTACGCACTTGCTGATGTTGAAATGTTTTTTCCTATGTAAAAGGTGATTTCATATGTCAGCTTAATATCAAAGACCCTGAAAAGTAGTATGCGTTATTTCTTTTAAAAAATATTTGCTCTGAGAATACTTGTGTTTTAGAAACTTTGAGTAGAAAGTGTTTTTTGTAATGGATGTTATTAATGGCTAATATTTATTGAATGCTTATTATGTACTAGGTTTTATGCTAAGTGCTTTATGCAATTTGATTAATTTCACTGTCATAACGTTACCATGAGGTAAGAAGTGTCTTAGTCTCATGTTGCAGAGAAGAAAACAAGGGCACAGAGCAACTAGTTAATTAATCCAAAGCCACACAAGTAGTAAGTAGTAAATAAAGAGATTTGGACTAGTAACACATTTTTATCATGTCCTGAAAACTGTAAAACTGAAATGTGTCTGTGATACAAATATTGACATGCTCTGTAACTATACTATTCAGTACCTTAGATGTTTGGTACTGCGTCACACCCTGGACCCTTGAAAGTTAGCTATTCCAGGAAGCTGGTGAGAGATGTGGGAAAGTAATGGTAAAAGTAATTGTCTAGCAGATGATAAAAGTGCTTTATTTTCATATTCACAAGTGCCCTCACATGCATGTTGAAGTATGCATCATTTTCCTGGAGTTTCTTTTACGGTACAGGGCTGCCTTCATTTAGTCTTCTCAGCAAATATTAGTGATTAGTTAGATTTGGCCTAACCTCTTACGTGATTGGGAACATTTTGAAGCCTTTCGTCAGTCCCTCTTTACAAGGAGCAAATATGTAGGGCAGAGCTAATTAACTGCTAGAATTAAAGCAAAAGTTAAAAAGACACTAATGAGTTAAAATTTAGTGTAGGAAGCACTTTGTTGTTCATTATGATATTCCTTATTATGTGTTTTTGCATGCATTACCTCAGTCCACTGGGGTTATAAAATTTTAACAAAATCTTACCTGATACTGTGTTCCTTCTTGTGCTAGTTACCAGATAAATGCAGATGAGTAAGACAGGATCCTAATTCCTGAGTTAGCTTCAGAAGTAGTAGAGGAAAAAATACAAATGTGATTATAATGTAGTAACAGTTTTAGCAATAATGGTTTATAGTGTGCTCTTCAATACCAAAGGAAGTTAAATTCTTCACAAAAGAATGTTGATTCAACAAACTCCTTTATATAAATTTTCGGCATCATTAGGGACTCTACAACAAAGATGGTTGCCTCTTCTGTGTGTACAGTTTCATATACTTACATTCGTTTATTTTGGTGGTACTGTAGGTCCAAAGGGATTCATGAATTTCAAAAGATCATATCAACCTTCTATGGCCACTAAATCTAAATATTAGTATCCCTCTTAGTCACTTATTCTTTATGAAGAAAATCCTATTTCTTAATAATAATCTGTTTTCAAAAAAATTCAGAGAAATAAGAGGCTCATGTATAATTTTTTATATCTATAGTACATGAAAAGAATGGAATTAAGATGGAGAAAGGAAGCAAAGTTAGAATGAGATGTAAGGTTAGTGATACTAACATGCAGTTTCTTCTTGTGGACCTACATTTGTATTTAAATTTCCTGTGGTCAGGACAAAGGAGGAGATTTACCTACTTCAAATGATTTTTATAATGAGGCAATGTATTGAGTATTAATAGCTAGGTATTTACCTAAAACTGGAAATATGATCTTTTGCAAGCCTTAGAATTTCACACACTCTTTTGTCCAGGTGAAGTGTGGCGACATTAGCAGAAAGACCTCTTTGTTTGAGGAACTGAGATTTCCTGCATGTGTTATGGGCAGGGTTCACAACACATCTGGTTAAGTGGACTTTATTGTTCTTTTTGGTGTGGATCTCTGAGTTGGGAAGTCTGTAGTTTTTGGATGAACATCTAAGATAGGTAAATTTGATAGTTTAGAACAGCAGCTCTTAACCCAGGAGCTTCAGGTCCAAGAATGGGCACTACAGGTCTGTGATGTTCCTGAAGTTACATATAAAAGTGTGTGTGTGTGTGTGTGTGTGTGTGTGTATTCATTTTCTGGATAAGTCTATCATTTCATCAGATTCTCAAATAGGGGTCCTGATGTAGAGAAAGTATTTAGAAGCACTTACTCAATAACTATGTAGAAAATCTATCTTCTTTATTAAAGAAAACCTTGAGAACTTCTAATGTAAGGTCACAGACCTTCCAAAGTTGATTTGACATATTCCTAGGTTTCTGTGTAACATATCACATTCTTAACCATGTAGACAGCCACAGTAAGTCACACTATCTTGAGTTTTGTGACTTGTTCACTACCTGAAAGCTTCTGACTAATGGAATAAGTGGCACTGGAAGTCGTATTCCCTAAATCATTCTGGCCGGGGGAGGAGCGGGTGCATTTTCTATTTGTTTCAAGCAAAGCATGAAGACTAGTGGTAACTGTAGTGTACTGTCAGATAGTTCAGCCATTTGTAAAAGTTTAGAAAGCAAGTTTTGATACGTTTGTTACTGTTCATTTTTTTTTATAAACAACAAGCTTTTGTTGAAATTTATTATTCAGTAATTTAGTGAACTTAACTACATGTGAATTATGTGATTATTGGTGCTTTTCGTCACCAATTATATTTTTTCAATCTCTGACAATGTCTCTTTAACACACTCTCATATCCAGTTACAGGTTCTAAAAGGTTCCCTGTTTGTCCCAATTTCAAACCACTCCCAGCAAAGCTTGGCAATATAGTATATCCTTATTATCACCTGTGGCTGTTAATTAGTCTTATTGTTCTGTGTCTGCCAACTTGTGATAGGCTTGTCTTCCCAAAATCTTTCTTCTATGCTTGCTTCTGGGAAGGTCTTCATTCTTGCATCCTACAGTCTATCTGCTTTCTTTCACTATGTCAGGAAGCTCATTTGGAGTTTCCCTTCATACGACTGGGGTTTTGGCTCTGGCCAGGTTTTCCTGGGCTTTCTTTTCTTAGAGTAATTGTTTAATCATCCTAGATAGGTCAACTCTGTGCTTTCCTTTACTTAAATAAAATAAGCCCCTATAAATACCAAATTACAAAAAGTCTTATACTTCCTTTGTAGAACAGAACTGCCAACTTTGCACTCAAACCTTTGCAGCTCTCAACATAGAAACTAATCCCCTTAGGCGTGGTCAGACTCTGTTAGTATTGAAGCGAGCTCAATAGCCTTGGTGACTCCTGAGACCTATCCTCCATATTGCTGGTTATCCTGCTCCCCCTTCCCCCTGCTCCTAGATCTCAACAGCCGTCTCTACTAATGCATTATGTGTCATGGACATCTATGAAATTT